TACATGCATACATACTTAGCCTTGCTGGAATTCTAGAAAGTAGCATGCATAGTATAGGACGAGTTTTCCTTGTACTGCTGTTGCTGACGACATTCATAGAAATGATGAGATATAGCAGTGTTGGTAGAAACCATGGCTGTAGTTGCTTTCCGCTAGGTGCGCTGTCGATTATTCTGTTGCGCTGCTTGGCTGGCTTGTGTGCTCTCTGTAGTTTTTCCCAAGGTTGGAAACTCAGATTGACTGGTTGAACAATTCGAGGTTGGGTTCAACCTTCGAAATGCCCAAGGGCGTGTTCCGAGGTAGGGTTTCAACCTCGAAATCAAATTGAGTTTAGTTGGCGAAATCGGGAGTGACGATTTCGTCTCCGTCTTGTTACACCGCGGCCCCTGCCAGGGACGGCTCTGCCAGTGGCACTGAACGGCGCGGGAGTCGGGGATGTGAATGCCGCAGCTCGTTGGCCCACCGGAATCGCACCCGTCAACACAAGGTGGGTCCTATTTCAAATAAGTTAGAAGTAGGCGGCGGCCCTGTTTCAAAATCCGTCTAATACTGCTACTTAATGGTACAGTAGTTGAATGGTTTTGTTCTGCTCAAGGGTTTTTGAATCCCTTATTTGCTCGCTTGTAGCCGTATCTAAAGTCTTCGCGGCGCCTCGCTTCACCCACCCCAAGGAAGGTCAAGGCGGCGCAGCGGCAGGGGGTCGAGCCGCGACGACCCTGGAGGTGGCAGAGCCTATCGGAATCGTCCCGTGGTCCCGCGGTGGGGGCCATGGTGGGGGGACGAGCGGCGCTAACAATAATTTGTTGTGCTGCTGATGTCCTTTGCTCCACCCCAAGGAAAGTCAAGGCGGCCGAGCCACGGCCTTGGCGGCGGTAGAGCCCATCGGAATCCTCCCACGGTCGGGGACGTAGTGCAGGAACGTGTCGTGCGGCATGGTGCATCGACCAATCCACGTCTTCACACTGTGGTACGGGGTGTTCTCCGACGTGCAGAAGCAGACGATTCGCTCTTTCGTCGCATCGCTCAGCCCCAACGAAGACGCTGCTGTCACTGATGCGTACTTGGCTGGTGGGTACCGAGCTAGTGGGTACTGGGCTGGTGGGTTCTGGCTCGGCGTTTGAGAGGGCGGCGTGCTGCACCGTAAAATCCGCATGTCTGTGCTGTGGTACAGCGTGTTTGCCATTACTGGTGGGTACTACTCGGCTCGCACCCAGGAAGGATCTCCGTGCATTCTCATAGTAGGCCCGCCGTAAATAGGCCCTGTGTGAGCCAGAGTCGGCGCCTGAGAGGGTCTCGTAGAGCCCCCGCCAGGACGGTACGGCGTTGCTCAACCCCAGAGATGACGTCGCCGCCCCTGGTGGGTACTAGGCTGAGAGTATTGAGACGTCTCAAAACTGTCGCTGGCGAGTACTAGGCTGAGAGTTTTGAGACGTCTAAAATTGTCACTGGTGGGTACTAGGTTGAGAGCTTTGAGATGTCTCAAAACTGTCACTGGTGGGTACTAGGCTGAGAGTTTTAAGATGCCTCAAAACTGTCACTGGTGGGTACTAGGCTGAGAGTTTTGAGACGTCTCAAAAATGTCACTGCTGGGTACTTAGGCTGAGATTTTTTAGACGTCTCAAAACTGTAATTGGTGGGTACTAGGCTGAGAGTTTTGAGACATCTCAAAACCGTCACTGGTGGGTACTAGGCTGAGATTTTTGAGACGTCTCAAAACTGTCACTGGTGGGTACTAGGCAGAGAGGGTACGAGGTCACTGCCACCCAGTTAAGACGCCACCCTCACTGGTGGTGGGTACTCCCACTAGGCTCGGAGACTGAGAGGGCACAACCGCCGCCGGACATCAACCGCTGTTACTACAACCAGTGTAGGTGTCTCAGTTTTTCTTTTCTTTTCTTTCTTTGAACTTTTCAACCTAAAACAAAGCTTCACTTGCGTACCCCACGTGTGCCATACCCATCCCGTTTCCCCTCTCTAGTCCCGCTATGGTGGAACATCAACCGTCATTACTACGACCAAGATGGTAACCACATTTCGGCATAGGTTACGTGGGGCGGGGAGCTCGAGGACAGGGCGTACAGCAAGGGCAAGGTGCTGCTGCGGGAGCAGGTGCAGAACCTTATAAGGGAGGCTTTTACCAGCCAGAAGTTTCCCCAGGACCCTGCTGCAGTCTACTTTGTCCTATCGGACGAGCTCGTCACACAGGTGCGAATTGGTGGAGGGAGGTGCAAAGCGGTGGTGACAGGTGCATTGCGGAACAGTCTAGGACTGGAACAGGGCGTACAGCAAGGGCAAGGTGCTGCTGCAGGAGCAAGTGCAGGGCCTGCTAAGGTCAGCTTCTACCAGTTTGAAGCTTCTCCAGGACCTCGCAGCAGTCTTCTTCGTGATCTCTAACGATCTCGTCACACAGGTGGGATTCAGTGGAGGCAGGTTTCCATTTCTCCATTTCTCCTCTACTGCTGCAGAGAGGGAGCGACCTGAGCACGTCTGAGAAGTCTTTTGAGTTGACTCAAATTTCTTATTTTCCGACCCAGCAATTCAGTTAATATTTTTTACCCTCCCTGCATGTCTACAGGTGCAGGAATGGTCTTTAAAAATAGTTGAAGGTGCTGAAAATGATGATTTCTCAAAAACCACCTGCTTCCCCCCCCCCCTTGGCATCTCGACTGCTCCATGGAAGGAGCAACCTGAGCACGTCTGAGAAGTCTCTTGATTCGACTCGAAAGTAATATTTTCCCCCTAGTGTCTCATTAGTTCTTTTCCCCTCACATGATGTCTCTACTGCTGCAGAGAAAGAGCAACCCGAGCAAGACTGGCATGTTCTGCAGATGCCACAGCTACATTTGGGCCCACTCGAACAGAGTTTTGACACGTCTCAAAACGCGCCGACCACTCAACATTTATCTCCCCCGCGCCCCCCACCCCCCCCCCCCCCCCACCCCCCCCACCCCCCACCGCGCCTCGAATGCTGCAGAAAAAGAACCTAAGCACGACCAAAAGTTTCTGCTCAAGTTAGTGCGGGTGGCACAGCTACGATTGGACCCAGTCGTACGGCTACTTTGCCTACTCGTAGGTCGGCAACGCCATCCTGCTGGTGAGTGGAATCTGCTTTTGAGGTGCCTCAAGCAAGCCTGCACTCACAAATCTAAGATATGTTATTCACGCACCTCGGTGGGTCGCATATCTAAGCTTGGACCAAGCCATACGGCTGCTACGCCTACTCGCGGATCGGCAACGCCAACCTGCTGGTATGCTGCAGTGCCGGCTCAAGATTAAGTATGTGGCAGCAGCGTCAGGTGCTTTGCTCCCCGTGATTGGTGTTGGGAATGCCAAGGTTAAGGGAGCTAATGGGGAGCTTGTGGGGCTTGGGAATGTTCTGCTGGTTGAAGGCTTGTCTGCTAACCTTCTCTCTGTGCGACGACTGCAGAAGAGCAAGGCCGAAGTGACCTTTGGACCAACCAGCTGCCGTGCTAAGCTTGGGAAGAAGGTGCTGTGGAGTCTGGAAGAGGAGACCAGCTGCATCAAGGACCTGTGGCAGCTGCCCATCATCCCATGGAATGGGAAGACTCCAACAGCAGCAACGGCAGCAGCGGCAAAGGCAACAGCAGGAGGAGATGCAACTGCACCAACTGATGGGGTCCTGGAAGCAGTCAAGAAAGTGCAGCAGCAGCAGACACATGGTGAGGTGCTTGCTGGTGTGGATGCAAGTGCGGCATGGGCTAAGGCTTCACCAAGGAGTGGAGAGGCCGATTGGGAGACATGGCATGAGAGGCTGTGTCATGTGAACTTCCCTATGCTGCAGAAGTTGGTGAAGGATGGGAGCCTGAAGGGCTTGGAGGTGAAAGGGGGAGTGAAGGAGATTGGGAGCTGCCCTACATGCTTGGAGACCAAGTTCTCCAAGTTCCCCTTCAACAGCACTACAGGACCAGCCAAGACCCCACTTGCACTTGTGCATATGGATGTGGTGGGGCCCACAAGAGCCCCTTCCCTCTCAGGCAGCCGCTATTTCTTGACAATTGTGGATGACCACACTCGGGCAGTGTGGGTTTACCCTTTGAAGAGCAAGGGGGAGGTGGCAGCGGCTGTCCTTAAGGAGTGGATGCCTAGAGCTCAGAGGGAATGCGGACACAAGGTGAAGGTGATCCGCAGTGACAATGGTGGGGAGTTCATTGGAGCTGATTTTGAGGGGGAGTTGAAGAGGAAGGGGATCCAGCATCAACTGACAGTGCCCTACAACCCGCAGCAGAATGGCGTGGCTGAGAGGTTCAACAGGACCCTGCAGGAGGGGGCACGCACTCTCCTTGGGCGTGCAGGGCTGCCTGATCCGTTTTGGGTGTCTGCACTGAGGCAGGTCGCCCTTGTGAAGAACAGGGTGCTGGCTACAGTTGGAGATAAGGAGTGGATCCCATATGTCAAGTGGTATGGGAGTGCTCCAACTGTGAACATGCTGAGGGCATTTGGGTGCATGGTGGTGTTTCATGTGCCTAAGGAGAAAAGGGGGAAGTTGGAGGCTTCTGGAAGATGGGGTGTGCACTTGGGGATTGCAAAGGATCACAAGGGGTGGCTGCTATGGGACTTGACCACCCAGAAGTTGACAGTGTCAAGGGATGTGAAGTTTCTTGAGTCCCTGTACTACAAGGAATGGAAGCAGCAGCAACAGAAGCTTCCATCTACACCGCTCATTGTGGAGGCAGATGAGGTGCAGCAGCCTTCAAGACAGGTGGAGGTTGCAGTGTCAGAGGAGGAGATGTCTGGGGTGACTGAGGAAGGGGGAGCAGCTGAAGTAGAGCAGCAGCAGCAGCAGCATGAGTCTCCACCTCGAGTTCCACACCCGCCTGAGCGTCCTAGGAGGGATGTGCGCCCTCCAGTGAGGCTGACCTATGGGGGAAGAGGCAAGCCAAATGTGGTGCAGGCTGGGAGTGTGGTTGAGCAGATTGAGGAAGATGAGATCGCTCACTGCTACTGGGCACCAATCCCTGAGCCCAAGACTCGAGAGGAGGCCTTGAATGGACCAAATGGGGAGAAGTGGAAGGCGAGTGAGGATGAGGAGTTCGGGTCCCTGATTGAAAACGAGACATGGGACCTGTGTGACTTGCCTCCTGGAAAGAAGGCAATCACTTCCAAGATGATCTACAGGCACAAGTATGGACCTGAAGGGGAGCTGACCCGCTACAAGTCTAGGCTTGTGGCACGGGGGTTTCAGCAGACAAAGGGGAAGGACTATGATGAGGTGTTTGCTCCTGTGGGGAAAGGAACAACACTGAGGGTGCTGTTAGCGATAGCTGCACTCCTGGGATGGAAGATACGGCAGATGGACATTGTGACAATGAGTCCGCTGTGAAGCTCGCCAAGAATGCTTGTCTGCATGGGCTGACAAAACACATAAGGCCTAAGTGGCATTGGGTGAGGAGACTCCTTGATAAGGAGGTGCGGCTGGAGATAGTGAAGACCCATCAGCAGGCAGCAGATATTTTCACCAAGCGTCTGGCGGAGGCGGATCATTGGAAGGGCATGAAGCTTGCTGGGATGAGTGTGCATTGAGTATGCATGCTTGAGATGTGGTATGGTGGATGATGGTTGGCAGCCAGAGGGGGAGATTGTTGTGTGATGTCATCATATGCTATCACATTCTGTCTGCCTCCCATCCCATGTTTTCAACTTGCATGTGTGGTTTGAATGTGAAAGAATTTGTGTGTGGTGTGTTCTGGAGTTTGGGAATGTGTTCTGTGTTATTTTTGTTTGAGCAGGTATTTTGATGATAGATCTTGAGAAGATCTTTCCGACGCAACAAGAATCGCTTCAATCGGAGCAAGAACGCGAAAGCTATGAAGATTCAAAGTTCATGAGCTTGCGTTACAATTGCGGCGGTTACAAAGTGAAGTTGTGGGGTGACTCTATATGGAGTTGGGACCTTTGGGGTTGGGGAAACTTGTCACTCTACTGTAACAGCTGCAAATAGGTTGGGAACAACCAAGCTAGGTTGGCAAGGGTGGCCAACTTGGATGGATTGGTTGGGAAGGGACAAAGGTCAAAGTTGAGGTTCCTATAGGGAGGGAATCTTTGTGCTTATGGGGTTTCCTTGGTTGGGGACTCTCTTGGGACCTTCCCTCTCGTCCCTCTCTTTCTATCCCAACCTTTCTCTTGCTCCTTCTAATTCCTTGTGAGATTCTTGAACTTTGATTGAACTCTTGAGATTGAGTTAAGTTCTCCTCCTACAGCTTACCCCCTAGTGCGTCGAAAGCCATAGCGTCGCGAATACTTCATCAATCAACGTGATTCAAATTGGGAACGGTAGCTGAGATCAAGAGCTACAACATATCCAAGTTTCGCGACATTCCAACGGCTAGTGTTTTGTCGACGTCGTTTCTTGTGAAGACGACTTTTCTGTCCTGAATTTCGGATTTATATTTTGAGTAATTCTAGCTCCTAAGTTCACCTAGACTCTGTCCTTAATCCTAACATTCTCAGGTGCTACACTTGGGCCGACTCATACGGCTGCTATGCCTACTTGTGGATTGGCAACGCCCAGCTGCTGGTACGTAGAATCTGCTGGAATTACTACGGATGGCACGACGATGATTGGCCGATCTTTATGATTGCTACGCCTACTCGTGGACTGGCAACAACAACCTGCTGGTACATTGCAACACCTGTTGAAGCGGGTTACCGCAAGTGTTGCAGCACGTTTCCTGGCTCAATCAACTGCTGCAGCCTGATTGCTCAAGCACTGCACTCGGGCTGACACGTATGGTTTCTAATATGCCAACTCCTGGATCGGCAACGCAAACTTACTCATAAGTACATATCCTATTTTTAAGTGCCTACTGCATCCATTTTTGTGGGCGGGTGGCACCACAATGCTTGGGCTGACACGTGCGGCCGACATGTGTGGCCGACACTTGCGGCCGACATGTGTGGCCGACACTTGCGGCTGACACGTGCGGCTGAAAAGTGTGGTTACTATGCCCACTCCTGAATGGGAGGTGCAGATATGATGGTGAGTGGAATCCACAAAGCACGAGTACTCAAGCACATCAGCTTGATACCTTGCTCCAGTGTCAACATATCTTACTCCATCCTCTCACCTGCCCACCTCCCACCCCTTCCGCATCTGCAGTGCCCCTCCCCCGTCTGCAATGCCCCAACGCCTGCCTTCCCAACGACGTCCGCTCAGCGCTCTCCCAGTCCCCCACAGGTGACCTTGGGATCGACGGCCTCGTGGCTGTCTTTGCCCATGAGCTCACAGAGGCTGCGTGCAACCTCTTTTACGGCAACTGGTACGACGGCACGGGCTACGAGAATGCGGACAAATGCCCGTGGAAGTAAGCACCCTCTGCACTTTCCCGTTGACTTTTGAGTCGACTCAAAAGTCACCGCTTCCAACCTCTTCATTACCACCTAATTAGATGGCATGGTCTATGACAATGCAGAGAAGCGCTCGTGGAAGTAAACATTCTCAGCCACTTGTTACTCCTCTCCTACTGCACACCGCCACATGTCACTTTGGTGAGGTGTCACATGGCGCAGACTACGAGAATGCAGAAAAGTGCCCGTGGAAGTAAGCACGCTCTGCTGCACACTCTGCTCCACACTCTGCTGCACACTCTGCTCCACACTCTGCTGCACACTCTGCTCCACACTCTGCTGCACACTCTGCCACACCTTCTGCCACTTGTGACTTCTCTCCTGCCGCACATTCTGCCACACGTGTCACTTGTGGAGGTGACTTGCGAGTCCACTCAAAAATCACCGTGCCCACCTGGATCTTCCAACCTCTTCATAACCTCCTGGATCTTCCAACCTCTTCATGACCTCTTGGATCTTCCAACCTCTTCATGACCTCCTGGATCGATGGCATGGCCTATGCGAATGCAGACAAGTGCACCACGCATCCGTTCCAGTGACTTCCGTGCACAGGGAAGCAAGCAAGCACCCTTTGCCCCTCAACCCGCCACTTGCCCCTTTCCAGACACATGGCTTGTTCTTTATCCAAGCACCAACAGTAACACTTCCATGCCCTACTAATGTTGTTGTGGTCCCTATCCTATCCTACCCTACCCTACCGTAATCTACCGTACCCTACCCTGCTCCATCCCTTTCCATCCTGCACGTTTGACCCCCTACTCCCAAACGCCTCAAGCATCAAGCACAACCTGGTAGGAGTCAACGGAGCAAAGTTCCTTGTTCAGCAAAACTGGGACCTGGAGACCGGCTCCTGGAAGCTCACCCTCCCACCACCTCCTCCTAGCCCTCCCTCACCCCCCTCACCCCCCTCTCCTCCGCCCTCCCCTCCACCCCCACCGTCTCCTCCCCTTCCCCCCCTCCTCCCCCTTCCCCTCCTCTTCCCCCGCCGTCCCCTCCGCCTCCGCCCTCCCCCCGCCCCGTCCCAAATGAGCCCCCCCACCAAAATTGGCACCAAGAAATAGCATTGGTGTTTTTTTTTAAGATAAAATTATGGTCAGGAGGTCACTGAGACCACACGTGCCTGTAGAGAAGGGGTCAAATGTGGGAATCAAATATAATGGTGCCCCGATCAACATGCTTGTCAATCAACTTCCGTTCTTCCATGCGTCAATGACTTGTATTGTATTACTCTCAAAGACTGGTCATTGGTGCCTCAATTGCAAGGATCTGAATAAAAACACCGAGAAAACATATGATGTGGTCCTTGGCTGGTATACATACCCCGCTTCCAAGTTAGCATACCATACCACACAAAGGTTACCACATAACATAAAGGTTTAGCTCTTGAAAACATAGAAACACTAAGTTACCGTACAGCCAATATAGAACTCTATGGATCATATCGAGGATCGAACGTTGACAAAATATGCAGACAAGAGAAATTCGTTGACAGACTGTGGCTCTGTTGTGACCACCTGGATGTGAGCGAGGATAGTGGTGGGCGGGCAAAACAAGCCTTGTCGCCCAATCCGAAGCGAGCTTGAGCGATACAGCCGCGAACTGAGCTTCGCAGCTTGCTCGCTGTTGGGCCTTGTGAGAAAAAACTGGTAACTATGTACGGTTGGTCCGCCACGCGCGAGAGGTTGAAGCGCCGAGGGATGGGGTTTGCGGTTGGTTTGGTGGGAGGGGGACGATGAAAGTAGTGGGTAGGAGGATGCTGTGTCGTCGTCGCATTAAACTGGTTACCAGCCTGTTTCTCATGTTTCGGACCTTGATCGCTGATTTCGCGAGCGTCGTTTGTGCCGAATCTGCCCTCAGAAACGGCCTACCACCACATCCTCCCTCCACCAGAAATTCGGCGAACCCCTTCCCCCAAGCAGGCAGCCTCTAGACAGCAGAAGAACGCCAGCGAGCCGCCTTCCTCAGGATGGCTGGCAAGCAGTGGAGTTGACATTCGCTACTTCGCGTTTCGTGCTAACGGCTGGGGCGGGGCGGCACATGGAAGAGGAGAGATGTGCCGCCCATGGTTTTGGCACCCCATGGTTTGAGACGTGGGGGCAGCATTTTGCGAAGCAGATGCAACGAAGCAGGAGAAAGCCAACCTTCTGTATTCTTCTCTTTTCAAGCGAGCAGTCCGCGCGACCCGAGAACCGCGTAACAGCTGCCGCCGATACTACGGTAGCCTGGTCTCATGACCCTTCAGTCACTACAAATGCCTCAATTCGCACGATTACGAGTCGATTGACTTCAACTTGCTGCATTCTTGCGTGCCTCCGAGGCACGGGAAGGGAGTCACGTGCCGAAGTTATCGCGGGAACGCCGCCCGTGCCCGTCTACTAGTACATGGTCGCCGTTCACTGCACTTTCAGAAAGGACTCCTTTCGCGACATAACATTACGGCACGACTACGCGTAGTTCCTTTGCCTTTGCGACTCTTTTCCCGAAAGATTCAAGCGAAGCTAGAACCGACTGCCTGAAAGTCGTCAGCAGCACCGCTGACGAATCATGGAATCAGCCGCCTGTTTATCATTCGGCAAAAGCTTCCGAGGCAGAAGAACAAATCAATGCCGCCGCAGATCGCTATGCAGCCATCATGCTCTAGTAGCGAATCGACGCAGCAGAGCCAATGCGGCGGCGCGGTATTATATGCTTTCGCTAGCAGTGACAGCAGCGAGCGTACTGTCGATCCTCCCCCTCAGAGCGACGTGGCAGGCTACTGCTACTCCGACCGTCGAGCCTCCTACAGTACGTAGCGCGGCCCGCTCGTTGCGGCAGCATCTGCGGCCGCTTCAAGCGGCCCATGGAGTTCAGAGATCAACGCCGCTCAGCCGCGGGGCACCTCCTGAAACACCGGCCCCACCAGGCCCTCCTGCGACTCCCGGCCCATTGGCGCGACGACGTTCCGCGCTGCGGCTGCAGACAGCTCCGCCACTGCCAGGGCGGGGCCTGCAGCCGCCGCTCGCGCCGAACGGCGGGGGAGTCGGAAATCTGAATGTCGCCGTGGCTCGGACAGTGGCTCGGACCGTGGCTCGTCGGCCCAGCGGAATAGCATCCGTCATCACAAGGTGCGTCCGATCCGCTGGTAGTATTAGTTGGCTGCCGGGCTGCCGGGCTGCCTGGCTTCCGTACGTTAAGAACATTGCATTACCGTCTAGGGGATGATAACGAGTCAGTGATCACTCTGACCTGCTCACGGTAACGACCCTGGCCGCCACAGAGCCCATCGGAATGGTCCCCTGGTGGGGGCCGTGGTGCAGTGAAGAGCGGTGCTAATGATACTTTGCTGTGCTGCTATTGTCCTTTGCTCCACCTCAGGGGAGGCCAAAGGCGGCCGAGCAACGACCCTGGTGGCGGCGGCAGAGGCCATCAGGATGGTCCTGCGGTGGGGGCCGTGGTGCAGTGAAGAGCGGTGTTAATGATACTTTGCTGTGCTGCTATTGTCCTTTGCTCCACCTCAGGGGAGGCCAAGGCGGCCGAGCGACGACCCTGGTGGCGGCGGCAGAGGCCATCGGGATGGTCCTGCGGTGGGGGCCGTGGTGCAGTGAAGAGCGGTGCTAATGATACTTTGCTGTGCTGCTATTGTCCTTTGCTCCACCTCAGGGGAAGCCAAGGCGGCCGAGCGACGACCCTGGTGGCGGCGG